TGCTATCTCTAGAAAGAAAAGCACATCATTTGTCCAACCAACATATAAGACAGCTTTTATTTTACACATGGCACTCTAAAATCTAGAAGACAAAAAGCGAGTATGTTTGGAGGAACTGATTTGGCAGAACATACACAAAAAAAGTCAAAATACACTTTTTAGTGTCTGAAGCCCCAGGAAAAGCTTATCAGCTGGGAGAGGAAACAGCACAAGTGCAGACAGATTCGGAAACTTTCTGCTTGTATTTATACTGAGTGTTGTGAATCTGATTAGATACACCAGCTCTCTCAAATCACTTTTATAAAGCACCAGCAGAGCATTACTTGTGAATATTGGCGTATCACGCAGCACTTTCCATGAAGGAAAAGTAAGCATTCTCCCACAAACTTGTTAAGAGAAAGCAAATTTGCTGCCCTAGCTCTCAAATACAGGAACAATTTTAGATCTTGTAAACAACTGTGACAAAAGAAAAGCAGCATTAGTGCTTTAGACATATGGAAGAGGCAAAGGAACTAGGAGACAGACCCAAGACACCATGACAATATTCAAATTAAGACCTGAATTGCATGTTTATACTTCTTTACAATCAATCTAGATTGTTTCCTGTTTATACAATGCCATGAGCAGTACTTACATAGTAAAAACAGCTAAACTCAAGTAACAGCATAAAATTAGCCAGAGAGGCACGACTGTACTATATTGCTTTTGTCCCTTGGAGATACGAGTCCTAAGTTCAGACATTTTACTGCTCAAAGCTATTTTCATATTTGCAATTTTTAAAACAAACATGACGGCACTTCTAAAATATCCAATCCTTTGCACACATTTCTTAGTCATCAAAGGCTCCCTTCCTGCTTGCACTCTCTCTCTCCGATTTTTTTGAGGCAGTTAACCACCACTGGCTATGGGTGGAGTTCCATTTGAACAGGCTAGCTCTGGAAAGTTTAGAGAAACAGTGAAAATACTGGCAATGTTATTTATAGACTGCCAACACTCACTCCTTCCATCCACTAGTCTGAATATTGCCTTGTCCAGTTAAAGCTTACTAAAAGTATCAAAAGTTGCTTCCATCATCTGTGGTAAACTTTTTAGCACTGGTCTACTGCAAACACAAAAGCCTGCAAACAAATACTAGATTTCAACTTAAAATTAATTATTCTATTTCATCACGTAACACTTAACAGAATTTTAGGGGGTAAGACAGGTTTTATGGCAAATTTTAATCCAGATTGTCTGACTTACTGGGAAACAGCCAGATAACGTTTCCTTGGAAAACTACTGCTTCATTTTGCTTCCATTAAGAGCCTTCGGTGGGCCCTTGCTGGTGACATGGTAGAGACAACTTGGATTTTGGCAAGATTTTGTATCACTAGAGAAGAAACTCTAAACACTTACACAAAGCAAAGCTGAAGGTGAACAGGACCAAGGCGGAAGGAGCAGGGCAACATCCGTGCCTGCCTGAAACCGTACCAGGCATTAACTAGGGAGTTGTGCCCTCCCCTTGTGTTGGCCTTGAGCCCTGGTGGAGGCCAGCACCGCAGTGATGTGACAGCAGGCAGCAGTGCAGCAGCAGCTGTACTGCTTCACACCGACGGCCAGGCACACACCATCTCCTAGGTCTAACCCAGCAGCTACAGCCTCCAGCACTTCACTGAAATTCACACATGCTGCATGGCACACATTGAAAATGAATACAGAGAACTATGTAAACAAAAGAAAATAAACTACAGAATTATACAAGGCAGACGACAGGCAGATACCTGCACATCTATAAAACTGTCCTGGCTTCATGTGTGAACAGACTGAGATCTGAGCTGAGCATCCTCCTCTGGGTTGGTTGGTTTGGGGTTTTTTTGTTTGTTTGGTTTGGTTTTTTTTTTTCCAGTATATTTTCTTTCAGGAAAGCACAGAGATGAACAGTAACTGCTGTGACCAAGGTAACCCAGAACTAAAATCCTAATAAAACAGATTTACAACATGCCTAATGAGTCACTCACCCAGTAGCCTGTTTGCCATTTTAAACAACTGTAAGGACAAGAGCTGATCTCCCTTGCAGAACACAGTCCCACTCCTTCATGAATGTCTTTTCTGCTGAAGAGCAGCCTGACCCAGTACTTCATTGTTTTTCACTTTAAACAATTCAGACACTGACAACACAGAAATTATATATGATCTGCTTCACAACAAAAGAGAGTTAACCGGGGAAAAGTAGCCGGCTTTTTCTCTTTCAGTACCTTTCTGAGACATTTCAGGCTTGGATCCATTGTTGAAATGCCTGTGTAAACATCAAACTAACACCCTGCACAGTATGTTCCATTTACGGCTCCTGACCTCTTCCAGAAGCCACAGCTTTTACAGTAAAAGCCATCTGAGGGTGTTTGCAGATGATAACTGTTTTCTGCCCAGCAAATCTCACTACTATCAGTTCATATAGCAGGCTCCTCAGCTGTCCTTTCAAGGGGGACAGACCAAATAGAAGAGATGAATAAACAAACAACCCTGGCTCGTGTCTTTATGCTTTGGGGCTTTATGAGCATAGATGACAGCAAGTGGCAGCACCCTGACTGCAGTACAGGATGCAGAGCAGCAAAAATGAAAGCAGGGATCAGTCTGGTAATTCAGCTTTATCTTCTCACAGCTTAGCCCTGCATTAGGATAGAGATCCTACGGCAGATACGGAGAGTGGCATGGTAGCACCAAGACAAAAAGAAACCCATGTGGTGGAAGAAGTGTAATCATCAAAGAGGATTCTTGCTGTTCTTTATGGTCAGGCAGCCCATGCTTGACTCCAGACTGAAAGCCATCTCAGCAGATAGCACAGATGTCCAGGGGTGCTGTTGTCAGACTGATCTCATAACACCGTACAGGCTAGCAAGGGCAATACTGCCTATCCTGAGTTCACACACCTCACTCCAGAAAATGGGGAAACTGAATGGGACGATGAAAACGTGCGCATTATCGTGTATCCTCCCACGTCTCCTCTGCACCCACCTGCAGACCTGCAGGCAGAGCAAGGCATGTGCGAAAACACTACGTACCAGCTCTGCATTGGGGAAGGAAAGTGAGGGGAGGGAAAGGGATAGAACCCACCTGTGCTGTCAGCAGGCTGCTTCATGAGCAGGAACCTGCCTGCAGGCTGCCAGTGAAAGACACTGGCATGCAGCACATCACATGCATTTTAAATTCGATTTTCACCCAAGATTATAATTTTCTTCTAAAAGTGTTTCAGCATTAAAAAGACAGCTAAAGGGAAAGCATTAACTGAGCATGAATTGGAAAAAACAGAACTGGCACTATATTCATGTGCATGTTATTCATCATGTTCTTCTGTTTAAGTAACATTTGTACCCAAGGACAATGTCATATACACCCCTTACTAAAAACAAAACAAAAACAACAAACAAAGAAACACCAAAAAAACCCAAAACACCCTATGGTATTAACATCTAAGAGGTAACTTTTCACATTAAGATACATTTAAAACCACCTTCCAACATGAAAAAGTGAGACACCCTACAAAGACTTAAAAGAATTCATTTTCCAGATTTGGAAGAAAAAAAATTGGAAAGTAAAGCCCCATTATTCACATTTGATTTGCTACTGTCTTGCCTCCACCGTTCTAAGAGCTTTTGTTTTAAATTTATTCACCATAGTTGCATAATGAATGGCAGATTTAAAATATAATCCCAAACCAGTTTTAAAAGAAATTTAAAAATTTAAATAGGATTCTAGAAAGTAAGTATGTAAATTTAAGTGACCTACGTCAGACACAAAATATTACATAAACATAATTCATATACAACTATTTAAAGGTTTTGAAGCTTTGTTGGCTGATATTTTCACTTTCAGATTTTAAGGAAAAAAATATCTTTTAACTAATCTTTTCACTAAAAACTGCCTTACCTAAGTTTCTCCAGAGTTCCTGGCCTATAACCTCCTAAATCAGTGCTCACCAGAAAGAACATTTAGAAAAGTGTTGCTTAGTTTTAAGCATCACAACCACAACATGTTTCAAGAGAGCCTAAAACTAAGTCAATCTCCCACACCTCTGGAAAAAAAAAAAAAAGAGAAGGAACCAATTTTGTATTGCCCAGGAACTAACTACAAAAAACCGTATTTTTAAAAGTTGCTGACTGCATTTAACAGAGTTATGTAAACAGCAAGTGCTGTGTTTCAATGATAGGGCAGTATAGCCGGGAAGGACTTCCATTTTATGAATGTATTAGGCTACATAGGAGATTTTATTTCGTACATTTCTGAATTCTTTTGGAATATAATTCAGTGTGGTCTTACCTAACAGGAAATCCATTTTGGCCTAATAACAATATAATGCCCATGAAAGATACCAGACATTGTTAAAAACAAAACATCTAAGGAGGCTTGCCTTTGAAATACTAAGTATTTTTAAGACTTTTACACCCAAGAGGAAGCTACAGTGCCTTCCTGTCCACCTTTTCACTAGCTAGGTGGAGTAAAACAGCACCCCTTAATGCATCTCTGCCTCCAGCCGGTGACATTACCTAGTGCTTCACATCAAACGTGCTGACACTGCACCAGTGCCTTCCTGCGTATCCCGGAGCGTCCTCAACTCAAAGTATTAGTGTGAGTTTTAGCAAATACTGTTACAACAGCGATTCTCCCTCCTGTTACCAGCAGCAGGTAAGACACAGCGATTCAGCTTCTCACTGAAGATGACAAAGCTGGGAACCCAAAGTTCCTGTAGGAACTGGTTTTCAAGTGTGGAAATTACCCAGCATCCCCCATCTATAATTTATTATGTAGCACTTGCCAGATGGAAGAAACCTCATTCTTTACTTAGTGCCTTGCGCCTATACATGCTAAGGGAAAGGGGTGGGCGGGAAAACCAACATTTTGGAGCGTGGTCCTGGAATGCCACCGTGACAGACTGCACCAGGGCAGGGCTGTGATTTTGCAATCCCCGCCCGCGGGTAACACACGCAGCCGTCCTGGTAAGAGGGGGCAAAAGTCGCGACACTCACGAGATATAGGCCGGGTAACCGAAGCCGATGATGTTGCAGAGCAGGGACGCGCCGTAGCCCACCACCAGGTACACGGCCACCGCCCCGATGAT